AATGCTCACGGGCGCTAACACACAAGCCACATAAGCCTGTCTCTCACTATAGGGGATTAATCTGACATATGGGCCTATCCCACACTTTGGGGGATGAATAAGTAGTGACAAATGTCCATCTCTTATTATAGGCCTATCCCACACTTTGGAGGACGAATAAAAAGCCACAAAAGTCTATCACTTACTCTAGGAACGAAGGAAGAAGCCAACCAATGTGCATCAATCGCAGCCTTACCACGTGGTAGGGTATGGCTCAATCCAAAATCCAAATAATAACCAATCATTCACAATATAACAAAAATATCTCAATCTTTTCTCAGTGTAATCCATAAAATATAAATCATATATCTTTCCAAACTTCTCTATCACAATTCCAAAAATCCTACAAGACAATTTTTATAGCTCAAAAGTTATAATATATCTACTCGAGTTCCAAATAACAAATACTATTCTAAAATAGCAAAATACTCACAAACAACATATTAGCACGTATAACAAGTGAAAAGTGGTTACCTCTCGCCAAAGCAATAAAAAGGATTACCACAAGGTCAATCATTTGCTCAACCAATAATTAAAGTACACAATTAATAGAATCACATATTAATATAAGCTAATTAATTAATTAATTAAGTTTCTATATATTATTTAAATTTCTAATTTAATTGAATTTTTATTCTAAATTCCCGCAACTCTCATAACCCAAAAATTAAGTATAACTTAAAATTTCCTCAAAGAGAAATTATTTATTTACAACCCCCAAATTATTTACCTTAATAAAAAGGATTTTCCAAAATTTCTAAATATAAAATTATTATGTTGTAAATTCTAAAAATCTCCATTTAAGTTTAAACCTCAAAACAAAGTCATCAAAAATTTAATAGTACCTCAAATATTTATATATAAATAATCCAATCCAAATTCTAATGGCATAACTATTCTTTTTCATAAATAGTAAACTTTTTAATTAAAATAATTATTTTAAAACTTCCAATCACCCAATAAATAAAATTGAACCAATTAAAATCTCAATAACATGTCAAATAATCCAAATAAATTATTAACTTAATTTTAATCAGTATAAATATGATATATATCATAAATAACAGATTTATTAATTAAAAATTAATTTTTAAAAGACTAAAATCAACAAATGAACAAATCTAAACTAATGGAAATGATCTACTATAAAAGATCTACAATACTGTGGTTAACGCTCACCAAAACTAAATACTCCTTCCAAACTTTATATCAAAAATTTTCTCTAAGCCATACAAAATTACTATCATTAAATAGATCTGAATGAGTAGAATAACTTTCATGAAAAAAGTTTTGTAATTAGAAGCAATTTTACGTACTAAAATTATCTGAAACGATAGAGAAAGAAGGGAGAGACGAGCGATGCTACAGGCGAAATGAACACGGAGAGAGAGAAGGAGAAGAGGAAAAAAAAGGCGGGAGAGGTTACAAAAAAATCCCTCAGGATAAACTGAAGTTAAAACCCTGAGTAAAACGGAGAAAATAACAGTTTAGAATCTTTTTTAATTTTTAAATATTTAAATCCTTGAAGTAAAATTTAAGATGTTACGTCATCTCATTTTTTTATATAGTTGTAGTGACTTGAGGAGCCAAACGTCAGCTCAATCTTAGACTCATTCATGATCCCTCCCTCATCACCGTCTCGTTCTGCGGTGTGCTCCTCCACTAGATTCGTACAAACAATGGAGTTCATATACCTGTAATATAACATGGACATTCCGGGTTACTCAATCTATAAATGATTGATAACCTAAAGGACAAAAATTTAAAAAGAGAACTACTTGCTCAATGAGCCACCTCCGTTTTCATTCAAGAAACAGAGATAAACATAACCATAAATCTAAAGGTTGTAAGCTTGAAGAGCTTTAATTTCTTATAAACTCTCAGAATAGCTCTCTGATAGGTGGCGCACATGTCGGTAAACTCATACCTGTGAGTCTTATTGTAAAACAATTTTGTGGAATGACTGAATTTGAAGCTTTTCATTGCTTTTTGATTGAATAAAATTATTTATATACCTGTATATGAATTCATACGTATAATGAAGATGATGTAAAAAGAACATGATTCCTGGACTGAAGTGGTTGGGGGAGAAGGGCCTGATGCAAGTAAAGAAAAATGGGTTTCTTATTTATGATCATTTTTCGAAGTCCCTAGTGTAAGCGAAGAAAGATGGGATTCTTATTTGTAAGAAGGACTTGGAATTATTATAAAAGATCCTAAAACTCTTAACTTTCCTCTTTTGCTTTTTTCTAAGGTTCTTACCCCAATTTTATACAAATTACAGCATCTCTTTTCATTGATTCACTTTGGAGCGTTGTTACCTGTTATTTACATCACAAAGAAGATTAAAGAAAAACAGCGCGTCTCGATACAAATCCATACCTGTAAGCCAAGGTCGAGTGAAATGCCAAGAAAGGGCTAAGGAGTCAGGGGGGATAATCTTCTTCATCGAGGGGAGTGAGAGAACGCGGAGAAGTGCTGGACGGAATGTCATGATTTCACAAAGAAGATGATGACTTTTTTAAAAAAAAAAATTAATATCATATGCCCCGTCCGCATGCCATGTTAGCAGAAGAAACAGAGTTAGACACATCAGCAAACTTAACATGGCTAGTTTTGAATCCTGCTCCTTATTAGACTATAAAGACTAATGTTGTAAATGAAGTAAAACTTAAAATCAAAACTTATACTTTGAGTGATAAAAATCAAAATGAAGTCACAGTATAAATACCAAACCTCCTATTAACCCTCCATGAAACCTCGAGTTTGATTCGAACTGCAATCAAATGCACGAAACCCCATGATGGCTCCGAAAGAAATATTGGTTCCATCGTCGTTGTTTTCATGCATGGCGTGATAATTACGGGTTCAGCTTCTCTCATCTATCCTTCCCGTCCAGTCACTACCCGTCCCAGGCTCCCTTACCCTTCAACGACGTCATTGGACCTTCTCAAATAGCGCCTTTCATATCGATTTCAAGTTCCGCTGCACCCCTTAGTTCTTTTTCGCGCGTCCCCTTCTTCTCCCAGCAGCACCTCCGTTCTTCAGCCGTCGACCCAGACTTGACTGAATTTCACGCACCCCGTTCATCTTCCTCTAGCAGCGCGGGAAAGTCGAATGTGCTGTGCTGGTGGGGAAGAATTTTGAGAGATTCCAGCAAAGGGGGTCTATATATGGGTACTGCCTAAGCTGTTCTACTCAGCATCGGCAAGCATAAAAATCGTACATCTCATGCACCCAAACCTCAAAGCCGCAAAGAATTTAAGGTCAAAGCAGCATTTTCGAGGATCTTGACAGATTATAGATTGTCAAGTGAAATAGCGAAACAGTCATACATATTAATCGAAGACGGAATTTTTAAAGTTGTGCCATGAGAGCAAACATAAGAATTCCAAATCTTCCAACTAGTTTCAGGTTTGGTACAAATGATTGTGTCAGAGACCCCTACTTAATCTCAAAGGAAATAGGAAACAGAGCATTGCTCCCATTGCTCCCTTTTCCATGTTCTCCTCAATCTGTACATGTGTGTGTGTGAGTATTTACATATGACGATAGATTTAAAAAAAAAAAATTAAGAGAATGTGGACTCAATTGCTTATAGTAATAACAAGCCTTTTATGATTTTTTTAATTATATAACTTGATAACCTATAGTGGAGATGGAGAGAAAGATGGAAACTTTGTCCTGTATCGTATGTCGTCCTCTGGCCTGAAAAAAATAACAAAAGTTCATCGAAGCATAGAAGTTTTGCCTGAAAATCTCATGTGGCAATATGAAAATATCCACATTAAAATGTGTGGCATCAATATATGAGTATTAGTGTTCGCACAGCTGAACTAATTGTTCATGACTTGCTAAAAATCCTGCTCTTTTAAGCAAAATGTGGGCACAAATAAAAGATTAAAAGGTGTGAGATTATAGACTGACCCCAACTCTTCTTGTATATAAATACGGCACCGTAATAGAATGAATACAAGTGAAAATTAGCAAAAGAGGAAATTATCTTTCGAAGAAGTTGTAAAATGGTACATGAAACAAAGCAAAAGAGCACCCAGCCAAGGTAGCAGAGCACCTTATGCCAAGTCTGCTTCTGTGGATTCTAAAATTCAATTGAAGAGCTTGATTGGAGCTTTTGATTTTTGAATGGGCGAGAGAGAAAAATGCCAGAAAGATTGCAGGTTTGAAGTTGCTCGCTTCACTTTAGCCTTCAAGTGAAATCTGGGTCGATGATTGAAGAACGGAGGCGCTGCCAGGGGAAGAACGGGACTCGCGGAAAGAACGAAGGGTTGCTGCATCAGTTAAATTAGTCAAAACGACGTGGATCAAGGGCAGAGGAGAGAAGTCGGACCCGATATGTAAGGATCCAGATTCTCCGCAGTTCAGCCACTGCATGAGGCGCAGTTAATTCATTTTAGTCATAAATTTAATCAATTTCTCACAACATGCCAATGCGACATCTTTTGATTGGGAAAAAGAAAAAGGAATATATGATAAAAAATGTCTTTTGTATATACTGAAGCCTTATATATAGAGCGCATGATTTATTTTTTTTTTTTGGGGGGGGGGGAGAGGACTGGCGTCTCATATATTTGCATAGTGCAAACAGATAAAAGAAGACATGAGAGGTGCATTATTAGTGGGATAATATATAATAAATAGACACAAATTTTTAAGGTTTGGGGTTTTCAAACAAGGCACAAGACATGCGGTGCATGGATTGGAGGGATCAAATCAATGGCTGTGATCTGTTGAGTGCAGGTAATGCAAGTGCTGATAATGAAAGGCTGACCAGCTGATTCCATGCAAAGCATGTGGAAGCAGGTAGTTTCTGGTTTATTACCATTCAGAAGAGGGGTATCACATTCACAGTACAGTCACTGCGCGTTAGATCAGTTCAAGCTCATTAACTAGCTCATGCGACCAAGTCTGATTTGTTGTTCGCTTCATGTGCAACGTGCTAATTGAGATTGTGATTGATCAGATATATAATAATATTCATCACGCTCGCAGCAATTTATTTCATATAGTACAATTTGTAGTTGTACATGGATTTATGAAAGCAGATGAGACGGAGAAAGTTTGTGAGAAGTGAGGAGCTAAAGAGAGAACAAAGCCCTCTTCATTATTAGGAAGAAGCAATAATCAGGCAAAAGGCCTTTGGTTGTAGCAGTCCAAGTTGCCGCCGTAGCCGAGTCCCATAATATCACAGTACCTCTTGTAAAACCCTATCCTGTCTGCCACCCTGGGATCTTGGCCGTGCCCGCATTCCAGCCCACCGTTTATGATGTTGGTGATCACACCGTAACCGGGCACCCTTCCTGCCGACGTGTCAGCCGCGGAAGGCGTCCACCTGTTGATGATCACGTCGTGGCTGGAGGGCTTGTTGCTTTGGGCCGTCATCCAGAACCATATGGCCGTCTTGAAAGATATCACCGCGTCCGTGGCCACCAGATCTGGGTTCCTCACCAGGTCCACCCCTATCGCCCTTCCGGCCTGCTGGTAGTTGTAGTCACTGTGTCAAAATCAAAGCTCACACGAGTAAGTTCTTACTTCCTAGCATATATATCTTTAATGAGTATGTATAAAGAGAGATGCAGCTAGAGAGAGTGATCGGTAATTACTGTGTGAGTTGAATGGGTCCACGTCCGTAATATCCCGAGCTGGCAGTGTTGGAGCCCTCCCTGACAAAGCAGTAGCCCCAGGCATAACGACCATCGGGTGCGGTGTCCCATCCTCCGGTCGTCTCGTGCGACGTCTGGCCGAAGAAAGCGGCGAGTTCCCTCTTGCGGGTGGCATCATCACCGGTGGTCCCGAACCCCGGAAACGACCTGGCCGCCGTTATGAACGCGTTGTAGCTGTAGAAGCCCTTCCCCTGGCACGCGGCGTCGTTTCTGTGTTTCAGCATCTGCTCGAACAGGGAAGAGGTGATGATGCTGGCGACATCGCCGCCGCCGGTAGACGGCGTAGGGTTGGGTTTGGGGGTAGGGCCGCCGCTGGGCTTGCATTGGCTTTGGCAGTTGTTTGAGCAGTAATCGTTGGTGGTGCCGCACCAGCCGTATTGGCTGCAGCAGAGGCCATTGGGGCATAGAGCTCCGCCGGCTTGCCTTCCGCACTGTTCGGCGGAGGCTCTTAGCATCACTAAAGCTAAGGCTAAGGCTAACACTTGCATATTTCTGGCTACCTTCATCCTTGCTTACGTTGGGTGAGGGAATGAGCAATTGGAAGGCTCTATATATGGACAAGACTCTAGAGAGAAGCATTTGCTTTCTAATTTCTTCTCTTGACTTTTCAAGCAGTAAGCTGGTCAAAATGGACTGCTTGACTTTTACTTCATCCTGAAAACGCCGATGCAAATTGAAGTCCTGCTTTCCCCGTTCGTATGCGTTCTCACTTCATGGTACCGTTATCCATACTGTGTTTTACTTCTTTAGTTTTTGTTTACCAAAATTATCTATCGCAACGAGCTTAAATGAAAAATGATATGCTGATTGTATGATACATCTCTTAATTAGATTTGAGACCCACACATTAATAGCATGAAATTTAAGGTAAATCTAACTTACTCTATAGGTTATGTGTGTGCGCGCACGCGTATGAACAATTTTTATACATACGTACATATAAGTGTGTGTGTGTGTCCACGTATGTATGTATAATGTTCAGTTGTAGATTTGATATTTTAAATAAAAGTATGTAATTATTAATTGTGGAAAAATAATACTCCTCCGGTCCTAATTATAAGACCCAATTGACTTATTTGAGGAGATTAAGGAAGTAAGTTAAGTTGGTTATTTATAATAAATAAGTGTTGTCATTCCTAAAATATCCTTGCTAATTAAGTATATTGGCTAAAACTATCATTATTAGAAGGATTATCTTGGAAAAAAATGCATAAATATAAGAGACAAAATGGATTAGGGTCTTATAATTAGGACCAAATAAAAAGTCAAATGGGGTCTTATAATAAGTACTGGAGGAGTACGTGAAAACGGGAAGAGACAAACCATTTAAGGATTCAGTTATTATAGTCTTCTCGCATCATAAGTGTCTGTCTACTCGAAATGAGGTGGAATGATTTCTATTCTCTACGTCGCTAAGAAATCTCATGTTTAGATTTAAATATGAAACTGAAAAATTATTTTAAAAAATTCATACTCTCTTATTAATAACGAGACTTAAAAAAAACATATCATCTTTGTTTTAAAGTCTATTTAACTAATTTGATTCAACTATAAAAATTAATTTAATTAATTAATTATAAATAATATGATATTATTTTTTTAGAATAATCTCCAAACTGGAATTTATAGATTCACAATTATAGCACCTAAAAGTTTAAATTCCAGCTAGAACTTAGGCGTAATATTTTCCTGTCATAAAATAAAGCATGTTATTAACAAGGCGTGAGACTTTTTTTTAGTGATCTCATCCAGTATCCTAGGCAGACTATCCAGTATCCAGTATCCTAGAAGGGTATGATAGATGATCAAGAGATTTAACGCTTTTCATGCTTAAATGGGGATTGAACTCCCGATCTTGGTTAAAAAAAGATGAGTCCTTACTGTTCAACCATACGCCTCTGATTACAAGGCATAAGACTTTACCTCCAAAGAAAAAGTCATAAGATATTTTTCTCAAGAAAAGAAAGTCATGAGATATTAAAACTTGTAATATAAATTGCCATAAAGCCGTTATTAATAAATCCTTATCAGCTACTCCTCCGGTCCTAATTATAAGACCCAATTGACTTATTTGAAGAGATTAAGGAAGTAAGTTAAGTTGGTTATTTATAATAAATAAATGTTGTCATTCCTAAAATATCTTTGCTAATTAAGTATATTGGCTAAAACTATCATTATTCGAAGGATTATCTTGGGAAAAAATACATAAATATAAGAGACAAAATGGATGGGGGTCTTATAATTAGGACCAAATAAAAAGTCAAATGGGGTCTTATAATAAGGACCGGAGGAGTACCTTATATCGCTTAGGTCGTAGCTCCAATGAAAGAATCTTTTCTATTAACTTAACGCCAATTTAATTGAATGAAATGTTGTAGTTTTTTTAATCATAAAAAATACAACGATATTAATATTTGGGGAAATTGCAAAAAAAGACCTTGGAATTGTAAAAACGCAGATAGGGACCTTTGACAACTTCACTTTGGGTTTTGACAAGAATAATATGCCCTGAAGTTGTCAAAACCCAAAGTGAAGTTGTCAAGGGTCCCTATCTGCGTTTTTGCAATTCCAAGGTCTTTTTTTGCAATTTTCCCTTAATATTTTATTAGGATTTTTTCTCAAAGGAAAAAATCTAATCTCTTTAATTGAGAATGGGCATGAAATTTTATTAAAAAAATGCTTAAAATTATTTTATTAAAAAATAAAAATACAGGATTAATTTGTGTGTGGCATTATTAAATTATTGTTACATTTAATTATTGCTGAGGGAGTATTAACAGAAATAATTTAAAAATAATGATAAATATAATAAATATATCTTATATTTAAGACTAAGATCAGCTCCTTAATTAGGATATCATTAAGTATGGGAGGATCATTGTTGTCAAACTCACAAGTTGAGTATCTGAGTTTAACATTTTTTTTAATGTTTTTAACTTACAAAATCATATTAACTCGCTCTTAAACTTATCCTAACCGTAAACTTGATTGACCTTATGAGCTCAATCATCAAGTTTATTATTTTTATATTTTTAGTTTACAAAATCGTGTCAACTCGTTTTTAAATTAATGCTATATTTCTGGATCTAGTTATGTTTGATAACTTTATACATGAATTTCATAAGCAAAGAGGTGTGTTTATTACCAACTTTTTCAATAAATTAAAAATGGTTATATAAGTTTTGGTAAAAATGAATACAGATGAGATAAAATCCATATCATAGCAGTCTGTTTTCTTTCCTCCGCATCCCAAAAAAAAAGAATTCTACACCCTGAACGTGCGAAATTTACTTGAAAGAAGCATGATCGTGGATACCTCCCCCCGGGGCATCAAAACAAGGTAAGCTATAGCTTGAAAATCCACTTCTAAGGGTTACTAGCACCGCCTGCAGAACATCCTTCCGTCATATCCATCTGCAGTCTGTCTCGGCACTGAGAGACGGGCTCCCAAATCAAAACTATCTCCTCATCATTTTGATGTGCTTTCTTTGCCAAGTAATCCGCTCAGTGCATTGCATTCCTGGAGGCAGATTGTGGATACGTTTTCAAAAGCAACGTGTTACACAACCCCGTGAAACCTATATCCAAATGGCTTACAATATTTCTAACTCACTGCTTCAAAAACAATCAGCGAGTTGTTGCTTTACATAACACGCACATAAATTAGAAAACTCTGAACTTATAATTTGCTTTTAACAATAATAGACCAGCGATTTCATTGGCATTTGGGAAGTTTGAAATCATGAGGATGATTTTATTTTATTTATTGTTTTAAATGAAAGGCCATGACGAGGCAGATAATTATGTAAAAAGAACAGGATCAATACTGATAGACATGAGCAATTAAAATATTCCTATACGCGCACCCCAGCTAAAGTGGAGAAGATAATATATATGAGTTTATGAATGGGGGGAAAAATATCAGAGTATATGTGAGTTTATTAGGAAGCTGACTCAGTATGCACACTCAGAGAATACATTATTACAAGCATCATGGGCTGCGCCACTCAGTACTCACCCAGATATGCCGAACCGCCTCTCGCACGACCCGCTCCGATTGTCAACCCGAGGCTGCTGCCCCCGCTCTCGGCCCCATCCACCCCGCCGTTTGATTTGTTGCTTGCTCATTACTCCGTACTCGTCATCATATGACGCCGTCCACGTGCCTGTCTCGCGTCATCGCTTGAATCGCTGGACTTTTGTTTATTTAATTTTTTGTGGGGATCCAACTTCCCAGTCATGCCTATACATATGCACATACATATGGCAATCTCCAGCCGTAAAGTCGGGTCGGTGGAAACAATAGCCGGGTCGTTTACCCGGAGGCGTAATTCCCCCAATCGCTTTACCCAGTGGCCATAACTGTAGCTGCTGAGCAAAGTCAACCTTCACAGAAGTGATAGGTATCAAATGAAGTGAAGTCAAATTAATGAATCATATATGGTCTCTCAGTGGGCGGGTCTGAAAGAAAAGTGGGATATCAGAGTGAGTTTGAATAGGTCGTTGGGCATTTCGTATTGTTTAATTTAGCGATGAGGCCAATCAGCGGATCGATAAGCGGCTGCGTCTGGTTGCAAAGCAACATCCCCAAATTCAGTAATGGAAGCCGGGCATACTATTAATGGATGATTAATATCCATCAGAGGCAGTGAACATGATCTGAATATATAGAGTGACTGTGCTGGTCAAAAAACGGAACATGTAGAGTGACTGCGGAGCATTTTCCTATACGGGCCGCGCTGCTTTGCTGGACTGTTTTAATTAATTATATTCCCGAATTAATTTGATTTTTAATTTGATCCTAAATATAAGATTTTAATTCTATTTGCTTTTCATATTTATATATATATTTTTTAAAATAGTTTTTATAGTAGTTATATATGTTAAAGATTCCATAATAACTATAGCTAAAACACATGATTAACAAAAATATTTTATGAAAGATAATACCTAATTATGACAAATAACTAGCTTAATAAATTTTATTAATCTATGCAAATTAGTAAACTGATATTTATATTAATGACTGAACGAAGTAATTTTCTATTCCTCCACTGCTTCACTCTGTGTATTCTATGTGCTATTAGGTCGAGTCCTCCCTTATCCATTATCGTGTACTCAAAATGACGGGTTCCCAGACTCACAATACGGGACAAAATTGGAGAGTAATAAAACAAGCACCGAAAATGGCGAAATCTCCAGTTTTACAGCTGGCACGAGGCTTTGCCCGAGGAGGGGGCCGGGTTCAGCAGTGTTAGGGCCAGTCTTTCTGAGATGAGTTGTTTCTTAGGACTCGGGACTTTCTGAAATATACGGATGCCTTAATTGCCTAACCCTGAGCCGACGGTCACGCAACGCGGCTTCTTTAGCTGAGGTTTATATACAAAAAACGACAAAAAGCGGGCGCTGGATATATGCCACACACTGCCACACAAGACGCCGCCTGCTGGCTCCTTCCTCTCTATATATGTGCGTGCGTGCGTGTGAACTTGAGCCTCGTCAACCGCG